CTGACAGTGGTTTGTGTATAAGTAAACACTTATTGCAGCTTTTTACCAACTGGTTTTAACGTTATTCAGGTGGCTGAGTTTACAATTGCAGTTTGAATGGAGTGTCTTATGTTTTGAGGTCACAAACTGGCGGTACATTGGGTCCACTATTGTGTTGGGTCATGATCTTTTTCATCACTTGTGGGCCCTCTGACCCCCTGAAAGTCGTGTTTTTGCTGGACTGCTGTACAGGTGTACTCCAGGACCCTGTGACATCACCCAGCATCATGTGAAACAGGCTTCAATCTTAAAACCAGAGAGGACGGTTAAAGGCCCCCTGTGGAGTTTTCTTGTAAAAAAAGAACGTCTACATTCAGTGTTGCACACTAAAATGTGCTGTGTGTATTTTTGAGGTTTAAAACGCATGATGAATGCGTTTCCACATTTTTAAAGCTGTTAGTTTGAAACCCACATGTTGGCACATTGCTGCATATCTTGGCATGTTGGGTCAGCACTGTTGGCATAATCTGAAAGTATAATTAGTTAATATCTGAACGCTTCACTTAGATAAATAAAGATATAAAAGGAGCGTCTTGGGAGGACTGAGGAGTTAGTTATTACATATGAGTAGATGGCAACGTTTCCACTATGGGTTGTTTTAAAAAGACCCCCTAACATCAGAAACATGTTGGTGAGGGCAGATCATCCACCTGAGTCAAGTCAAGTCAAATTTATTTGTATAGCACATTTCATATGACAAGCATAGCTCAATGTGCTTAAAACAAACGCAACATACATATAAAAACAAACACATAACAGCAAGGAGATTACACAGTACAAGAGCATGTAAAAACTTGATAACAACAAAAACACAAAACAATGGTAATGGTTTAGCTGGTTAAAACCACACACACACATCTAGTTAAAGCCTAAGCCCCCCCTATGTTTCTGAATTCCATGGAACCTGGAAACTACAAATGTGGAAACTATCAACAGAGTAATTTCTTTCACGAAACCAAAACATCCTATCACCCACACATGGGAGAAGTCCTTATTCTTTAAAGCAATGGTGTCAAGCATATGGCCCGAGGGCCAGAACAGGCCCACCAAAAGGTCCAATCCAACCCTCTGGATGACTTTGCACACCTAATGTTGATGCATATGTGAAGGCTGAGAGGTTTCAGGAGCAATTTAAACAGTGGGTAGATACTTCATGTAAAATACTGCCTTACCCTTCTCTAGAAATGTGATTTATTTTTTGATTTACAGTTTTAACACTTTGTCACCCAAAGTCCTTAATAATGGAACTGACATTCCCCCCTTTTTGTAGCTGTCCACTATTACTGATCAGCTATATCCTCTCTGTGTTACTTATCATCTGCGTGGTCTCTTTACTGTTGGTTTCTGGTTATAAATGTTACACCTGGTAAAACACCTGGTATCAGTAGTAGTGGGGAGAAAAACTGAGAACGATTCTAAGGCCCCATGACTGACAGGGCCCTAGTATTAGAACATGTGTAATTATTTTTTTCAATAACAGTTATTAACCTGTCATTGTTAACAGAAGACTTCATTTCGAATGTGCAAACTAATACTGACTGTTTCATTTTCTTGTTATTCGCAAAAGAAGTAAACAGTCAGAGAGCCTTCCCCCTGTATTTTTATGAAACAGTTCAGTCCTCCTACTGTAAATCTGGCACGAACGGCACAGGCTAGCAGAGAGAGGAGTGAGGTTTGTCAGTGAAGCTGAGCTTCATGTCTCAGCTTCAAAGAAAAAATCTGGGGAGCAAAAACGAAAAGAAACATAGGAGAGAGCAAAGAAAGGGCGACAGTATGTCACCCAATTCTTCACAAAGAAAGGTGGGTCACAGCTGGTAGTGGAAATTATGTTTTCTCCAATGTTAAATAGACTATGTTTGCTCCCCTAACAGTTAATATATTCACAGAAAATTCTGAGTGTTTCCATTCTGCTCCTCTTCAAGCCATCATTTAATCATTACAGACAAACTTTTAGTAAGCTATTCCTACTCAGCCAGTCATCCCTGTCCCTGCCTGGTACCAGGCCAAAGTACAGAGGCCTTGTCCTCAGCAGCCTTGTCTCCCCAAACCTCCCATTATTAATGAACCAGCCCGAGGCCGACTCCCAATTGAGGAAGGAAGTGAGCAGCTATCAAATAACATGTCAGTTCATAGTAACAGAAGTTTTAGTATTTATGATGTTTTTACCAGTGGTGAAAGAAGTACTCAGATTTTGAGGAAAAAACCACAGTCTAGAAATACTTGTTTACAAGATAAAGTCCTGGATTCACAATGTTACCTAAGTAAAAGTTAAACTGTATTACCAGCAAAAGATACTAAAAGTATCAAAAATAAATGGCTCCATTCAAAGTATCATAACCTAATTTAAAGCTTTGAATAGGCTGATTGGGTCTTGGAAGTGTGGTTACAGTAAATGTGCAAGATTCACAGTTGGGCTCTGATGGTGGGGCCCAATGTGATATCATTTGATGGGGCCCAAAATCCCTGATGGTGCCCCTGCCTGGTATGGGACAAATAGAGGTACCTCTTTAGTGTTATCCCAAACTTGATGATGGCCTTTAGGCACGATGGTGGTCAGGGACACCCTTTTGAGTGTCTGCCTCTTGATGTATATTTGTGTATATATACGGTTTCTTCTCATTTTTTTCTCCTTTGGGAATGTTGATTATCTCCCCCAGATGAGGAGAGATGATGCCTGGAGGGGGTCATGCGTTTGGTCATGTATTTGCGTGCATGCATGTGTGAATGACTGTGTGTATCTTTCTGTCTGCAGTTAATCTCACAAACTACTGGACCAATCAGCCTATTATTTTGTGTGTAGATGTATGACTTGTTGTGTTTACTCAAGGACCTTTTATGGTTGGGGTGATTCACAGTTGTTGAAAAACTTGTTTTATTGACTGTTTTATACCGTTATTGAATGCTGACTCCTCACTCCTCTCACGGGCCGGTAGGACACAAGTTTTCTGGGAAACTGGCTCGGCGAACCATCTTTTGCAAGCCACATTTTGGCCTTCATCTTGACTTAAAAAACTGACATCCATAGAAAAGTCTGGTCTTATTTTGAACCGGAGCATCTACAGATGAATTCTGTCCCCAAAATATGTATAATTTTTTGTTATCTTTGCCACCATCTTGATTGTAAAGGAACCAGGAGGGAAAATTCCATCAGGCACAGTATGCAGTGTTCCAGCTGCCGTGACTTGCGACTCGGCTTGTTCTGTTTGCCGCGTGGCGTCATGCCTAGTCTCTATATACAGACTCTACATTCAGTGAATGTAGAGTCTGCAGGCAAACCGTGGAGATCTTGCCTCCGGAAGAAGAGTGGAAGAGCCCCGGTTTCCGGTTGTAGGCTGTTTGTAGTCCGCGTGATATTGACCAATCACGTTTGAGCCGGCTGCAGTTGTTGCCAGGTTAAACGGTCCGTGTGGTGAAATAACGAGGCGGAACATAATTGGCGTCACTGCAAACTCTGAATCCATCGCAATGGTTCAGCATATTTACTTATATATAAACGGAAGTCGGAAACGGAAATTCGCCTCCTCCGCCCAAATCAAACCGGAATGCCAAAAAATCGGGGGTCTGCACCCAGAGGCTGTATCGTCGTCTGCCAGAAGTCAGCCGATGGGTTCCGAGAATGCGTCATGTCTAATTTTTAGACTCACAGATTTTGTTATTTTTTCTTGATATTTGTGCTCCTACCATAAGTAATTGAGTAGGCAGTTCATTTTTTGGTCTATTTTAATTGTGTTTATTGTTGTTATTTCCTCCTTTGTTGTGCTGTGGCCCACACACAAAATTAATATTATTAAAAATCCATTTATGAACGAAATGGATCAAAGAATTATGGCTGTGTTTTAGTCATTCATAATACGTTCATCTTCATCATTTTATTGTATCTGTATTTTATATACAGTGCCTCTTAGCAGGAAAATTCGGTCTGCTCTGTAAAACAGGCCATGGCTAAAAAAAACACTTCTTCTGAAACACACTGCACCTCGTCTTGTCCTCATTTATGAGCCAAACACTCTGTAAATGCCAAAGATTCATTGATAGCATCAGTCACTGAAAGAAGGATAGATTGATCCTGACTTTTTTTTATACCAAAATGAGAAATCCACATTTTAGAATGATTAATTCTTACAGAATTTAACAGTAAATGTTTGTATTTATTATCAATTATAGCATCAGTGTAAACTATATTGATCAATGCAGTTGATGCAATATGAAAGCTGAGCAAACTGTCTGGATCTCCTATTTATTGATCTCTTGACATCATTGTTATTGTATTAATTAGTAAATGGATCTAGAGGTGAAACATGTGTGTGTGTGTGTGTGTGTGTGTGTGTGTGTGTGTTTGTCTGTGTCTGTGTGTCTGTGTGTGTGCTACAGGTGAATGTTTGTAAAGTAGATCTTCTGAGAAAATTTCTAAGATGCCATATATTGTCACCCTTTGCAGTAACATGGCCTTCGTTTTAACCTTCTAACATTTCTTTAAATTTCTGGGATGCATCAAAAAAAGTCTCTAACAACTACAGCAAATCAACCCAGGAGCTTGTTTGGTTAGCATGCACCATCTAACAGAATAAACCCACTCATAACCAGAGATCTGTGATGATAATGTACATAATAAGACGAGTCTCCTCACAGATACTGATGAGGCGGGACAGTTACCATAGTGATTTAATATCTAACATCTAGCCCCCTCTGCTGGACACATGTGAGAACTGTGACTTGGCAGAACAGGTGATTTTCTAAACCTCACTGATTTTGAATGATGTTAAATAAATTGTCAGTTATCTCCCTTTTTGTAATCAACACCTCAAATCTGCAGTTCGAACATGTTAATTTTCACCCACAGTCAACACAAACTTTATACTCCACTGACTTTAATCAGCTGATTTATTCATTAACTTGCCAAAGGTGAAATAAAACACAGATATTTACATGCAGAGCCTTCATTTTGGCACATACACGTACATACACACTGTAAATATTTACATACATTTGACCACATACAATACAATTAAATAAACTCCTGCAATATGTAATTTAATTGTTTCATTTTAAGCAGCTAATCACTTCAGATTCCTCAAATCTGTCAGAAGTGAAACACTTATGCATTATATAATATTTAGTCAACCAAATAAAACATGCTGTTATATTAATTTCAGAAAGTCTTTCAAACCTTTGAATTAGAGCTGATTATTTTCAGTCATGTTCAAAGCACACAGTTCATGTTCATTTTGGGAAGGACATGTTTCAACTCTAAGAGTTTTCTCCCGTGATGTTCTTGACAGGTCTGCTGGAGTGGTCACCACTTTCAGTCTCTGTGAGGAGAGAAGGAGAGAGCCACCATTAATCAGGGTGTCTGCAAGTCATTGGAAAGTCTCAAAATGTCTTAAATTCAATATATACATGTTAGGCCTCAAACATCATAACATAGTCTTAAATTTGAATTTGTGAAGTCTTAATTGTCACAAATGTTTTTTATGTAATTTCATGAATCCATCTTTTAATTTCTTTTTGTGAAAATGAGTAAAGTTCTTCTTCATGAAAGTAAACACTTAAATTAACTGTAGATGAAGATTACCTTAAAAATGATCTTAAAAAGCATTAGATTTAAGTTTCTGATATTGGTACATTCCCTGTAAATCCACCATAAAAAGACACCACACCAAAGGCAGAGTACCTGTCTCAGTGTTCCTGGAGTTACAATCAGACTGTAGAGAAACCACAGTGGTGCCATGCTGACTGAAGACAAAGCGAGTAATAGCCCGAGGGCGTGGCCCCACCAGGGGTAGTGGTAGATGTTGTTGTAACTCAGAGGGGTGAATTTGACCAGAGAGAAGATTAATATGCCCTGTGAACAAATATCAGGTTTGGGGAGTAATGGAATACAAGTAACTAAGTTACATATTCAAAATACAAAATGTGAGTTACAGTTACAGGTACAGTTTAAATGGGTGGTGTACAGTTGCTGTCTTTAGAAATAGATTACTTAAAGGGATTACCTTATTTGCTTTTGTTTTATATCGAACACCAGGGGGCATGTTTCAAGAAAACTAGAGCCCAGGGACCGGACTTTTACCTAAGCTATTATTCTCAATATGTATGTACATTTGACACAATGTGCAGTTCATCACAATCACAGTTTCAAAACGTTTAGTTCGCTACATTGCAAAAGTAGCCCTAATCATAATGAAAAAAACAAGAACTTAAATAGGCCTTCTTTTGAAGGATTTATTGTGGCAAAATATCCATTATCTTTGGGATTATTTTTTTCTGGTTTAAATTTTTTTGTAAACATAACCTATATCATGGTCTGGATGAATACTCGATTCTGATTGATGGCAGCCTCATCGATCAAATCTGGTACTTGTCCTCCCAAGGCATTGTGTGTTTGCCAACCAAGATGGTTTTTGTGCTCCTGGATTGAGGAATTATGTCTGATCAGAGTAAGATTACTGCCACCTCTTTTGGGAAGATGAACCTCTTCTTGAGGTCCACTTGCGTCTCCCATTCAGAAGCTTGATGCAAAACAGAGGGCGGGTTCTTGGCAGTTATTCTTGCCTTGTGCACCTTTTCTCTTTCCTTTTGGAAACTGATGACTCTAGGTGATGGTGCCTGGTAAGTGTTGGCTTTGACTCTATGCAGATATGTCCATTTGGCAATTACTGTAAGGACCTTGTCGTGCCTCCACCTGTATCAACCTACGCCCAGTGCTTTGGGACATCTAGTCAAGATGTGATTCAGGGTTCAGAGGGTTGCTCCTCACTGCTTTCAGGATGCATCCTCCTCTTTGCCCCAGATCTATAGATTGGTTGGAGTTGGCAAGAGGTTGGCCACAGCAGTGACACCCCAGAGTTCCTTCCAGGACAGTGAGCATGCAAGTGGCTGGTTTTACTGTATCCACTGGCCTTGGGAAGTGAGCTCTACCACTTTTACATGAAAGTCTTCTGCTACATCTTAGACCCTTCACCCCCTAAGTCCTGCCCTGCCTTTGGCATTGGCCTTTGTAGTCTTGGCATTGTAGTTTCCAAGTCCTAGCCATGCTTGACGAACCACCCCAACAACATCCCAATGTTTCCAGTATGCTTCTGCTTTCTTCACTGCTTCCTGAGGCTTCCACTTCCTGCCACACTTCATGGTCTTGTTAGCATGTTTGACTTTCTCATCCTGAGACAACAGCAGTGTCCTGACTGCTCTTGCCTTGATGGCTTTGAATCCTTACACCACTGATGAGACTGCTTAGCAGAGCTTGGAGGTCTTGCTGTACAGATTTGCTGAACTGAAAGATGGTGGAACACCTAACCATCTTCAAAAAAAAAAAAAATAGATTCTTGTTCTTGAATCACTGGAATCTCAGACCCATGAATATACCCATATGAATAGTTTGTCCATCTATGTCTATCTTCTTCTGCTCTGAGCAGGTTGTACAACAATTTTGGCATTACCCTACTGTCTTGCCACATCTAAACTTGTAGTCTTTATACGTTGTCCAGGTCCTTAGCTGTGTAATCCATCCTTAATGGTAGCTTATCAGTGATCATCTCACATCCCATTCACTATTCAACTTGTAACTTCAGGCTGTGGGCGACAGTAATGTTACATATGGCATATAGTTTGTTTGTGAAAATCTTAATACTAATTTGAGGACAGTGACATGGCTGGGTAGCCAGTTAGTCTTGCTGTTAAACATACTGTCAAATTATATTTACTGGCTGTCAACCATATGAAATGTTACTGACTGTGAATCTTGCTAGCGTAACGTTAGCTTTGTGGTTAACAGCGGAACCAGAGGGTTCTATGAGCTGGGCAGACTAGAAATATCTCCTGTTGCCAAGTCATATCCAGAGTGCGTCCTTTTTACTGGAGTCGCATATAACATTTCCGTTGTGTAAGAACCTTATGGGATGGTAATGATTGTTCCAGGTGTTTAGTAAATCCTGAGGTATTACCAGGGAAACTGAGTCATGCCTTGTGAAAAACATTGGATTTTGATTGCAATATGCATGAAAACAACTAATGTATATTCTTCGTGTTTTTTTCTTTGGTAAGTGACCATGGTACAAGCAGGATAATGCCTTTTCAGGTGTTCATAATCAGGAATAAATGGCCTTCATGTCTCCCCGTTGGCAATTAATTCCTGATAATGGACCCCGCAGAAGGCTTTATTCTTTACTTATCAATGGGCCAGTCTGGCTTGACTGGTGGGGTGGAATTGGCATATGGGCCACCGGTTGAATCGCCCTGATGTTCAGTCTACATTAATTTTCTTTCATCTTTAAAGGTAGGGTCTAGAGGATTTTCCAGTTGCTGTTTGTAAACACACATTCAAATTTGGGCCCTCCTATCAGGCTCAACTCTCCCAGAGGTACGGAGCCCGGAGGTACGGAAGAAGGCTTCACAGAAGAGGTTCAGGCAAGGCTCGCACTGGTGCACGCTCGGACACGCTCAGACACGCTCGGGCACGGCACCTGCACTCTCTCATTGGCTGGGGAAATCTCCGCCCAGAAGCAGTCCGAGCTCACAAAAACATCAAGATACAGTTAAAGGGCAGGAGCTCTGCAAACAGAGTCACCACCACACATGAGTAGAAGCCCATAGGTGATGATTAAGCAGGATTTTATTTGTACATGTCTATATTTTGTTTTGTTTGAAAATCCTCCAGATCCTACCTTTAAGAATGTAATTCACATCATAGTAACTTTGTCAGGCTTAGAGTGACAATGATTCATTATATTTACTTACTGAACATGCACATGGAGTGATGTACCTCCAACAATATTTCATATAGGGCATGGGGCGGTAGCCAATCATGTCTGTAATCTTATTGTAGAAGCGATCAGCACCTTGGAGACAGACAGTCATGTTATTATCAGGTCATTTAATAAAATGTTATCATGATGAAATATAAGTGAAAACAACCGAATCAGCGTGTAGCTCATGTAAAACTGATGTGGAGCTGGACATAGGTGCGTTAATCCCTGGCTGGTGAAATGCTTGTTTAGTGCTGGTTGACTGGATGGGATGTTAAATATAGCTCACCATATACCCATCCTATACAAATGGACTCTAGCATGGCAAAAAGTATCAATGGGATTCCACTGCAGGCGTAGTAGTCAAAAACCTGAAACACATAAAGTCCTCCCTGCAGACAGAGAGGAAACAGAGGGAGAGATAAGGAGGACACTTTTGAAACAGTGGCTCTTTTCTGCTCAGTTGTATCTACAGCAGAAAACAATATTTTGCCTGCATTTCTAACTGGTAACCCAAACATGCTGTTAAACAAACATACAGACGGACAGACATAAATAGTGGTTATTTTCTTTAAATCACAAAGAAACAAAAAAGACACATACATCAGTGACCATACAGAGACCAATGACAAAGCATAATCCACAGACGACCAGCAGAAGCAGTTTAGGTCGATGGCCAGTCAGAAAGAAGGATGGATACATGTCTGATATGGATGTGTTTATGGCTGCCAGATAAACAAACTGTGGGTAAAACAAACAAACAAACAAAAACAACAACAATGCTTTTTAATGAAGAACAGCATAGATTAAATGGGAAGTTCACACGAAAATCAAAAATACATATTTTACCTCTTACCTGTAGTGGTAGTTATCAAGCTAGAGGTTCTTTGTGTGAGTCTCCGAGTGTTGGAGATATTGTCTGTTTCAAGATGTCTGTCTATATTTAGAGATATCTCTCAAATATAATGGAGCTAGATGGCACTCTGCTTTTGGTGACCAAATAGCCAATTTACATACATTTGGAAAAACTCAACAGCAATGTCTCTTTACAGAAATCATGACCTGGTTACTCAAGATAATCCACAGACCTTGTTGTGAGCAGTTTCATGTAGGAACTATTTTCTTTCTACCAAACTACAGCTGCCAACTGAATCACCATCTAGTAGGAAGTGTGCATCTACTGCTAGTGCAGTACACACGAAGCACCACTGAGCTAGCTAATGTTACAGCTAGGCCGAGGATGACGCCATTAATGTTTACATTTCACACTGTCAAGAGCACGAGCCTCTTGTTTAAGAGTTGATGTGTGCTTACAGTACTTCTGGGCAGGGATACGGTTGGGTATAGTGTAGTTGCGTAAAAATCAAATAGTTCCTACATGAAATGGCTCACACCATGTTAGGCAGATAGTCTTGAGTAACTGTGTCATGATTTCTTGAAAGAGGCATTGCTCCTCTGTATTGTTTTGGCGAGTGCCATCAGGTTCCATGACAATTGACAGAAGGCAGACATCTTTACACTCCATATCACCGACATTTGGCAACTCACCCTAAATAATCTAGACTGATAAATGGCACTACGGGTAAGCGTCAATGCTCCACATTAACACTGAATCAAATGAGTCCCTACAATGTCAAAGGTACACTAGCCGTACTAATTTCATTCAGCTGTTCTACTCAGCATTTAGATGCTTTTAGGACATTGTTTTTTCTTCACTGAGCATTGATTTTATATGCCGGTGGTTTCGTATCACACCCCTTTCTAATCATTGTGGTGACTAATCAGTTGGCTCCAAGAGGAAGCCAAGCTTATCAGGTTTTGTTTCTTGTTTTCTTCCAGTTTGTTAGAAACATCCCACCTCAGTATCCAGTCCGAGGAAGATAATCATAATGAAGAAGAGGGTAGCCCAAACATGGGGTAAAGGCATCATGGCTACTGCCCGAGGATAGGCAATAAAAGCCAGGCCGGGACCTGCAAAGCAAATGCCAAAAATATTTTAGGTAATGATTAACATAGTAATGTACACCTTAGTCTCATTACAAAGTAATACTGTTAACAGTATTTCTTTGAGTTTTTAATTTACTGACACTACAGGTCTTTTTCAATACAGTGCGCCAAAGCTCATACAGGCCATGTGTGGCATTACAAGCAGCTTCATACCTGATTCAGCCACTGCTGAGACTTCCACACCTAACTCATAAGACATGAAGCCGAGGACAGAGAAAATTGCAAAGCCAGCAAAAAAGCTGGTCGCACTGTTCAACAGGCACAGGGCAATTGCATCTCTGTAATGTAATGTACATTGAAGCATATGAAAACAACATACTGTGGTATACAGAGAGGACAAATGTATTTATTCCATTATATTATATTTTTAGCATTATGTATTTAAATTCTTTACTTGTAGCAGTTGTTGTTGTATTTGTTGTAGCTTCCCATAGATACCAAACAGCCTGTGCAGACAGCGTAGGAGTATAATATCTGGCTCCCAGCATCCATCCATACCTTTGAACAATGAAAAGATATTCAGTTTATAGTTGTCTTTTGTTTTTGTCTGTCACTAGCAGGGGTACAGTTCGCTCTGTTGGTCAGTCCATTGGTCCTCAAAAGTTTTAATTTTTTCTAAAAAATATTTAGCTGTGACCAACAAAACTCGGTTGGATGGTTGATCGGTACTCAAAAATTTCCCCACCATTTGGCGGCCACAGTTTTTTCCCTGAAAGGCTGAAATTTGGGAAGGAGGTCAACAGTGAGTGTTTGATGGTGTGTGTTTGTGTTCAGGCCAGTTGACTAATAGGGGGTGGAGTCAATGAGAGTAGCCTATCCTAAATAGGTGCATAACTTCCAAATAGATTTACAGCAGGGGATTGGGAGCAGTGACCAGAGGTTTAGAAATGTCTTACCATGTATTGTCCTACCCCAGTAACAAACATACATTCTACTCCATTGCATCTGTTATGGAGAGCCAGTAGTGATGTAGAAACCATAAAGGAGAGAACTCATCACCCACATGTGTGCCTCACCTGAGGATCAGCCAGACGTGTTGGGTCAGGAGAAAGGTAAAATCGAATACCATCAATGGCTCCTGGCAGTGTCACACCACGGATCAGCAAAGCAGTCATCATAGCATAAGGAAATGTTGCTGTGATGTAGACGACCTGAAAGAGGAGTAAGGATATAAATACGTGAGGTGGACAAAATAAAAATGCACTAAAAAACTACATCTACTGTAAACTACATCTATACATCTATTGTTGTAGCTAGTAATTCGGTCTGTGGGGACCTGGCTTGGGAACCAAAGGATTGCTCGATCAAGTCCCTAAACAGTCAAAGTATGGAGTGTGGACTGGCAGCTGGAGATGTGCCAGTTCTATGTGGCACTGCTGAGGTGCCCTTTATCAAGGCACCGAAACCCCACAATGCTCCAGGGGTGACGTACTACAGCTGATCTTGCGCTACCCCTCTTGTTTTATGCATGTGTGAGGTGTATGACTAAAAGAGGTCTACAAGATGAGATACATTTCAAGTGCCAATTGTTTGATTGTGTGAATTGACAAAGGAAATTCAATTCAGATTTAGTTAATGTCAAACAGGAGCTGATTAAGTCCCTCAGTATTGTCAGACATTGTTTGGGAGCTCACCTTTCCCGAGGACTTGACACCTTTCCAAACACAGAAGTAACAAATAATCCAGCTGAGCAGAAGACATCCAGCCAGGTCCCAGTGGATACTTCCCATCTCTTCAATACCTTGAGACAAACCCAGGACTCTCCTCCTGAACACAACATACTCTATGTTTAGGAACATCTTCCTTTCTGAGTCGATTAATGAATTACCGTATCAAGTAGAGTATTTGTGAGCACATACTGCCAGAATTCTTCAGCTGAAGAAGTTGCATTCTGAGAAATGTCGCCATCTGATGATTTATTTAGTCGATTATCGATACAGCCCTCTGGTGGTGAAAAACAGTAAAAATAACAGGTTAGAGTGGAAAATTGTAGTTTGTGAATTTTATATCTTGATGTTTAAAATATATTAGTCACCTTACTGTCAGCTCCGAGAAATGCTATCAACTCTTTCTCGTATCCCTACTATTCTTTTATTAGATTTCTTTCCTCTTTTGTTCAAAATACTCCTCCATGGAGAAGGAGGTGCCGACAAATGTACAAACACATCATTCATAAAGTGGTCGCACTTTATGTAGTCACCACAACATTACCAACATAAGTGGCTCAAAAATACTTGGCAGGATACACAGTGAATCAGATGCTGAAGGATGTGACAGTTTATAATAACCACCACTGTTAATAGTAAATAAATCCTATGAGAGAACAAAATTCACAGAAAGCATTAGTTGATCTCTCTATACTGTCCAATATATTGTTCCTACTGAAGATGTAAACCTTTTAAAATGGGACACAAATGTGTAGTTGAATGTGTAAGAACGACTACTTAATTTCTTAAATTGCAGGGCACTGTAGTTTGTAGCAAATGTCACTCAAACATGAGTACAAAAGGCATTTGTCAGGGACTGTTTTCAGCTGTGGATTGATTCGCAGTGTACACAAGCATTTTCCTCTGTGTGTGTGTGTGTGTATGTTGTGCTGTGTTTGTGGGATTAAAGGGGAATTTCGGTTTATTTCAACCTGTCTCCTATCGTCCTAAATTTGTTTCAAGTGACTAGTGACGAAAAATAATAGTTAGCATGTTAGCCGTTAGCCTAGATACAGCCGGGGCGCATAGTAGCGTCAGACAGGTGCACCACCAATCTCCAGAGTTACTCAGCCTTGCAGCAGCTATTCGTCCTCTACCTGTTGCGCTTCTCTCTCTCTCCTCCTCCATTCTTAAATTTCACGAAGCTCTTCGTCAGTGTATCCTTCCAGCTGTTGCTGCTTGTTCAGGCACGCTATGAGATCGCTGCTTGTTCTCGCAATATTTCGGCCACGCTTTGGAAAGCAGAGCTAGATGATAAACAAACATGGCAGCACACCGAAAAGGTAAGACAACACGTTTACATGTCGTTTTCTGTATGTTCTCTGACATTTATCCTAACGATATGAGGCGGTCTTTGTGGAGAAAAAGCTTGTTTAGTGGACAAACTTTGCACTTGAAGGGATGCCCGTTCACTTACGTTTTAACAGGTGTGACGCTACTAATGCGTCCCGGCTGTATCTAGGCTAACGGCTAACATGCTAACTATTATTTTTTGTCACTAGTCACTTGAAACAAATTTAGGATGATAGGAGACAGGTTGAAATAAACCGAAATTTCCCTTTAAGTCGAAAATAACACTATGTTAGTGGTAATGATGGATGTCCCGTCAGTACAACCTGATGGCTCAGAGGCTATATCACATTTTGGCTACACTGACAATGCTAACGGTTGCTGGTGGAATCAATTTTTTTTTTTTTGGTAATTTGGAATATGGAATTTGTTTGTAACACAAAATATACAATTTCCTCATGATTATCCTTAAACTCTGAAAAAGTAAGCATTTAACATATTAATAATATCATAGAGTTGATTGTTTATGTGCACCTGTGTTCCAGGTGTTGTTGCAGCTGGCCCAGGGGAGTACAGTGTGGAAGGAGGAGAAGAGGTAGAGGAAGGCCCAGGCCAGGATGACAATGTAATACATCTCAGTGTATAGCATGAGCAAGATACTGCCGTAGCCTAAACCTGAGGACAGAACACTATAAACTTTATCTGTAAAATAACTGATCAGTGCATACATTTGATATTATATCTGTTATATCCAATGGTATTGAAATTTTACTTGAGCTAGAAGTACCTTCAAAGACGGGACATATTTTCCTCCAACATGTGATTCCACCCTGCCTAGTTAACTGTCCCACAGATAACTCCAGGAAGAAGATAGGCAATCCACAGGTGAACAGGAACAAAATATAAGGAACCAGGAAAGCTCCTGAAGAGAAAAATTACATGAAAACAAACATAAACTGGACCATTGAGCCCTGTCAATGATTGCAGTGGGCCTAGTTGTAATTTTTAATGTGATCTTGTCTTCTCCTCCTCTATTTTCTCCATATTTATTCTTTGTGTGGGTGAGAATTTTACCTCCTCCATTTTTGAAGCACAGATATGGAAATCTCCAAACATTGCCCAGACCAATGATTTCTCCGATTACTGCCAAAATGAACTCTTTCTTGTTGGCCCACTGGTCTCTCTCATCAGACTTTGGGTTATGATTTAGATCATTGTCATCTTTCATCTCTGTCTTTTCTGGATTACTCTCTGGCTCCATTTGGCAAGGTCAGTTGAGCTGAAATGTTACATTAAAGCAGTGACAGTGTGTATTATAAGCAGTTGTGGAAAATGATGAAGTACACTGACTCAAGTAATGTACTTAAGTATAAATTTGGTAAATTTAGTTACAAGTTACTTTGCAGAATTAGATTATCAACACAAAAATCTATCCATTTAGCCAGCAGGGGCAGCAGGTTAAGGTAGTCCATACGTCCCTTCCCGCAGCAATGCTTTCCAGCTCGTCCTGGAGGATCCAAAGGCATTCCCAGGCCACATAAGTTTTGTAAACACAGCAGACAGTTCTGGTTCTATCCCAGTTGGACGTGTCCTGGAAAACTCTTACCAGGAGGCTGCCAGGAGGCCTTCTTACCAGATGCCCAGACTACCTCAACTGGCCCCTTAGAATGCAAAGGAGCAGTGGCTCTACTCTGAGGTCCCTCCAGATGTCTGAGCTGCTCACCCTGTCCCTAATACTGAGCCCACCCAATCTACAGAGGAAACTCATTTAGGCCACTTGTCTCAACAATGTCATTCTTATGGTCACTACCCAAAGTTCATGACTGTAGGTAAGCGTTGGAACATGTATGGACTAATAAATCAAGAGCTTTGCCTTTCGGCTCAGCTCCCTCTTTACCAGCACAGTCTGGTGGAACACCTGCATCACTGCTGATGCTACAGCAAACCGCCTGTCCATCTTACACATTTTTACACTTTCTTTTTTTACACTCACTCATGAACAAGACCCCCAGATACTTGAACTCCTTCACTTGGGGCAGTTCCTCACTTCAAACCCAGAGGGGGCAATCCAACGTTTTCTGGCATAAAACTATGTCCTCAGACATGAAAGGTACTGGCTTTCATTCCGATCAAACTCGATGGCTTCCGCCTCAGTGGGTGCCAGAGGTCACCGTCTGAGGAAGCCAATAGGACCACATCATCTGCAAAGAGCAGAGAAGCAATTCTGAGATAATGAATATTACAAACTGAATTGGTGACAAGGAATTACCCTGGTGGAGGCCAACATCCCCTTAAAACATGACTGACTTTGTGCCGAGTGTACGGACAGAGCTCTTGTTGTGGATTTATTTGTTGCCCTCGAACCAAAAAATAGTCTGTGGTGTTGGTCAAAATTCAGTAAAACTTGCTTCCAATAAAATCAAAGAAAGTTCAGAACACATTACCCTTATTTTTTATAAGTCATACATGTCACAATATCACTTATATGTCACTTGAACCCTGAAAGATCCCTAAAACCAGTTAAAACCGGTTGTGGGGGGGCCTTCATTCTTGAAAGTATCAGCCTCAGCACTTTACATCTTCCTGTCTGATCAACACTCACTTTGGTCAAGTACACAAAAGACATGTTTTTACTGGATGGGCAAACTCCCCCATGATTCCTCCAGCAGCCTTGCAAGGGTAAAAAGCCAGTCCACTGTTCCACCTCCAGCACATAACCTGCATTGCTTCTCATGAATCTGAGGTTCGACAGTTTGTAGGCGCTTCGTTTGCAGCACCCTGAAATAGACTTTTCTGGGGAGGTTGAGCAGTGTGATACCTCGATAATTGTCTGCCACTCCACAGGCACTGTCCCCAATCTCCATGTGACACTGAAAAGGCGTTTTATGCACCTCAACCATCTGCAACATTAAAGTTGTGCTTATTATGAATACATCAATAATTACAATCCAGTTATAAGATATATATTATCCTGAAATGGGTCATTCTTTGTAAGTGAGTACCATTCCTTTTGGTATTAATACATTTGTACTTCTACTCAAGTAAAAATTTTAATGCTGGACTTTTATCCTTTTTTCTACACTTACTTCAGTAAAAGGTCTGGGTACATTTTCCACCACTGGATCCTCTTTAAACCTCAACAAAAACACACATCAAAAAAAGTAAAAAGTATAATTGATTTTGAAGGGCAAATGTCAAAATATAAAGCATGTCAGTATGCTCAGCACGTTTTAAGATGAATAAAAGAAGAACTGTCTGAGAAGGACCCTTGAAGGAATAAGACTGCTTAGGCCTGCGCACAGTATAGCCAAAAGATCTGTTGCCAAACCTCTTTGGCTTTTAGTCTATAAAAAAGGAGATTTATGTTTAACTCAGCACTGAACATTTCCACTCATGGATGGTTTATATATTGACTATAGAGAGATGAGGCTTTGCCAGCTTTATTATTACTCTGTTGGTAAAACTTTGTTAACATTTTGTAGAACACTCCACACAGATCAAGTTACTGAACAGGCTGTGCTGCCGCCATATAAGATGGCATTACCTAAAGTCACTGGGCGTCAATCACCAACTGTTCTTAAGAAAATAATCATTTTTAAAACCCACTTATGCAGTTTTCACAAAGACTCTTAGCTGAGCAGATAAGCAAAAAAAAAAATTCAAATCTGGAAAGAAGCACCAAAATTTGACTGAGTGTACCTCTTGGGTCATTCTTGTGAAAAATCCCATTACCCACGTAAATTTTAAAATGTCTTTTATGACAGAACTTCATTTTCTGGGCCAATTTCAATGATTCTGGTGTCAAATTATAATATTATTAAAGTTTCTTGTGTAAATAAATACTTACCACTTCTCCCATGTACTTCTCTCCATCACAGCCAGATAGAAATGATGGGTGCTTTGAGAATTTATGGTCACATGACAACAAATTGCACAGTAGCAGAGAAGCCACAGAGACCGCAGATGTAAATAGAGTGTGCCAGTAAACCCAGAACTCCATTAGCGCTTTTAGCACTTCGGTTCTCTCGTCTAAAAGTCAATACATTTTTTGAATGGGATTTTGGTAAAATGCCTCAAATAAGGTCTGTGGTTAACAAAAGCTTAAGCGAGTTTCAGGTTTTGTTCTACGACATAAAACACGTCAGTAAATATCCTACTTGTGAATTTTGAAGCTTTTACGTGTCGTAAAAAAGGCGGTTGCTAACAAGTTGCTCAATACGACTACAAACCCTGTCGGGGACATTAAACGTCATCACCCCCGAACAGGCGAGAGTGCTGGCAGTCCGCCATTACAGCTTCTTATTTAGCTTAAACAGTCCGATTTCCCCATTATACAATGTTTTTAAAATAAAGCGGCCGAAATCAGTTGAAAGCTTAGTGGCGGTGACGTCAAGAGTCATGCGACCGTGGAGTAGTCATGTAGTCCGTTAAAGCCTAATGTTAGCTTTTTACTTCTGGCAATAGCATTTAAGCTTAAAATGAGGTATAAAAGGTGTTCATATGTGAAGAATATCTCACTGAACAAAACCTGTAAGTATCATAAACTTGTGTTAGCCACAGAGCTTATTTTCTGACATAATCCAAAACACAATGCAAAAATCCTATTCACTTTCTCTTCCGGGAACCAGTGCGATGCTAAACTTCCGGGTTTTGACGTAAGCCCTGGCACACTCTATTAGCTATAAAGCTAACTCGGGCTGAGCGGTTGTGTTGTGGGTTAGGGTTAGGGTTATAAACTAATTTAAAAACAGTGTGTGGGTCAATTTACCCACTGGCTCATCTTAAGCCACTCTCCCCTACACCATGTGTAGCAGTCCAGAGATCAGTAAGCATAATATTTTCTTTCAATGGCTGAAATATGGTAGAAGGAAGCTTCTTGGCCTCTCCAAACAATAAATCTGGCCTCTCTGTGGTCAAAAATGTATGATTAGATATCAAGATTTTACTTATTGGACAATTTTTCACAAAGTTGCCCCCAAAATAGCATTTCTGGGATTGAGTTAGTGGCCGTCTTGGGAAAAATGGTGGCCATCTTGATTTTTGCGTGGCTAATGAGTTTTATCAAAAGAACAACCCCCAAGGAGTATTTGTGCCAATTTTGGTGCTTCTTTCCGCTTGTGAAAGATTTTACTGAAAAAATGCAATTAGCTGCTTAGCTATCTGACATTCACCAATGTTTTCTTCAATTCTAGTTGTAAAATATTATAGCATAACACAGCACATCATATATCGCAATAATATTTTTATTATTTATAATCCTTTTAGTAATTATTTTGATATTTTTATTAAAAAAATATATTACAGTCTTTTAAAATAAACACTACACTAAAACTTGAATTCACATCTGTGATATTAATGGAAATCATGGCATCTAATTATTAGTAATAAATCATGCTAGAGTTCAGGTGGGCGACACAAAAAGTGACAAAGCAGTGTTCAGAGTATGTTATTAATAAGTTAAATTGCTTGAAATAGTCCAACTTTTCTCTTCCTCTATTTGTCACTCCATCAAACACACACCAAATACATACCATGCACATCTCTGGCCTGAAAGCTGTGTTACTATAATACATATAGTTTACAATTTGCTGCTTGGGTGGTTGATTAATGCATAGTTTTAGCATCCTATGCATGTTTTTGTGCTATTTTATATTCAATACTGACTCCACTAATTAGGACAGCTTGTTTAGAGTTCTGCAGAAGTATCCCCGAACTATTTATTTTTTTTGTTTTTTCCTTTTTTAATATTTGGAGTCCAGTCTACCCTCTTTAGACTTTTGATTGGGCATTACCTCTCTCATCTTTTCCTCTTCTTGCTCTTCTTTAGTTTCTGTGTGTGCACACGGCTTTGTAATCTTATGCCCTTTTATTTAGATTTGCAGAGCATTTACCTGTACTAATTAGGATCAACTGGCATGCACTTTTAACTTACAGGGACAATGGGATTTATCATTATAAGAACACAGTTGCAAAACAATCCTGCAGTTCAAGAACACATCGTGAATCTGACATTGACTTTTCTCAGGACCTTTCTTGACTTATTAGTTTTAATGCAGAGCAGGTCAGCATGGATCAAAATCACTGATAATTTACAATGATCTGAAATCAGCAGCAAGGTACACAAGGGCTGGTCAATACTTACATGTGCCTGTGGAGCCCTGTTGCATTAACTGGATGGAAGTTCTGGGGGGAGAATCTTATGCAAGTGTTTGGTTGACGCCTATAGCAAGCATTTAACCAATGAATGTCATTCACTGGTCAGGCAGTTCTTAC